GCGCACACAATATTAGAAAAATCATTTATCCGAATAGTACGCATTTACGACAGAAGGCCGTAGCGGAGATGCGTAAACTCATAAATAAGAATCACACGGAAAAAAATATAAAAAGCTCAGCATTTTGCTAGTAAAATGTGAGTCTCCGAAATTGGAATCCAAAGTAAAAATATATAAAATGTATTTTTAACAATTTTGTCTAAAAATTAATTCAATTATTTCTGGAATTTCTGAAATTTCTAGAAATTACTATTATAGTTTTGCAAAATATGTATGAAACATTCTCTGTATGAGAATATGTAACAATGTATAAATGGTACATTTATTTGGATATTGCTTTTACATTCTGTAAATATTTCAGGACGTTCCGGAATACTCTTGAACTAATATTTTATTATTTTAGGAACATTTTGTTATTTTAGAAATATTTTAGAAATATCCAATGTTAGCTGCGATTTTTTATCAAGAATTTTTTTTTAGAGATAATTGAAACTAACCTTGTCTAGCAAGGTTTCATCCATTGTTTCAAGATATTTGTCAGATGCATTTAAAACGTCCATGCCATATTTGACTTTATTACTTAATAATTCGATAATTGCTAAAGTATCATCCATTTTAATATTCTCAAGGAGAGGAGTATCTGTAACATGCTATAAATGTTTTTGTAAATGTCGAGATATTAATAAAATAAAAAAAAGAAAGAGATGTCTCAAGGACCGTCTACAAAGGGAGTAATATAGTATGGTAATTTGTAACAATAAGAGAGAGAGAGAGAGAAATCAAACAATTACAATCGAATGTGAAAAAAATAATCTATTATGACTGATTTTATAGCTTACAGCTGCTTACTACACAATATTATTCCCATTCATTCTCATTATAAAACAGCCTATGAAAGCATTAAAAAAGTTAAATGTTATAAGATATCTTGTTAAAAATTATTAAAGTTAACAGTTTTTTTATTTGTTGAAACTAGAATACTATCATCTAGTTTTTCTTAAATCTATCTTATTATAAATCATTAACAAATTTTAAAAATTAACAATTAATTTCAAACCATAATCAATAATTCAATAATAAATTCTATTTATATTTAATAAATACTATTTTTAATTATTCCTAAGAAATAATTTTTTTCTCTATTATAAAAGAAGTATTTTAATTTTTCTGTAGTAAGAAGAATAAAATTTTTATATTTTTATAAATACTTAAAAATTATCTTCTTTTTTTATTTCTTAAAGTATATAATAATAATAAGGAAAACATTATCCAAAGTTTTAATAAATAAATAAAAAATTAGTTTTTTGAGTAATTTAAAGAAAATAAGAAATAATTTTTTAAATACAATATATATCTTTAAAGAATACCTAATTTGTTCAAATACGATATTTGTTTTTGATGGTCTTTAGTAATTATGATTCTGCTATATAAATTATACTAGTTTCCGTATATAAATCCATTTCTGAATAGAGAATTTTCATTACAAAAATTTTTATCTAAGATAGCCTTAGTGTAAACATACTGAAAGAGTTAGCCAGACAATTTGTATCAGAAATTAACGAGTTCGAGATTCTACGTATATTTCCGATAGAATCAATACTGATTTTTTACGCGGTCGTGTTACAAAAATGTTTATTCTCGATCGAACACCGAGGTGTTAATGTGGGCGCTGGTGATGTGACTCGAGGTGAGAATTACAGAACATGACATATTCAGGAAAATCCATCAACAATACGAGATGAACAATGCTAGGGGTATCCAATTTCCAGGAACAATAAATAGTCGAAGATATTCACCGTAGCTACATCACTAAAGGTGGTTTTACTAATTCAATTAGGCGTTTACATGGCACTTCCATTTCTACATTACGAAGCTTTATCTACTAAATATATTCTCTTGTACGTGATAATTTGTAAGAACACGTTACATGCACACAGCTAAAAGAAAAGCGTTAATTAAGGTTCTTCTTTACTTTGAAAATTGACCATACATTAATAAGTATTTCTTTTCATTTCTTTTATTCAGCTAATCATTGCACGGCTTTTCAAATTTGATCTCATTATTTATTATTATTTGTCTAGTACTAAATAGTATTTTAACTTAAATCTTATCAGAATAGCCTAAAAAGTTATCAAGTCTTAATTTAATGCTATTTTTTTTATCGTAATTGAATACTTTTAAAATCATACAATTATCATAAAATTGGTTATATCATTAATTATTAGAAATGCTATCTTATTTAGAGCGACTTATAGAAATTGTCTACTTTTTTCTGGTTTGAAAAACAGTTAGCGTGGGACCTTTCTAAACACGGAATCTATCTTGAGTTGTTAGACTCCATCTAGACTCTGTCGTCCACGGACTTATAATTAATAACTCTCACCTGAAACTTCTCACACAGTTTATATAGTATACCAGTTACTTCGTTTAAGAGCTCGCGGATTCGTCGACTTGCATTCTCAGCTCTCTCCCTACGAGATCGCTGTTCATTGATTTGCAAGTTGAGTTTTGCCACTACTTCCGCGTTTCTGAAATGTTTAATGTAATATTACAAATTAATTAAAGCTGCAGCAATAATTTATAAATTTGTTATCAATTTTTGCTTCCGAAAAAATTAACTGCTTTTCGTTTCTGAACATTTCCTCGTTTCTACTGTGACATTATCCTGTCTCCTCAAATCTATACTTTAAGAGATCAGTTTGACAGGCATCATAATTTGTGGAATCAATTTAAAAGCTGATTTTTTAATACAAGTTTGAAACTTTACATCAAGCCTTTTATAATTAAAAATAGATCTTGTAAGTTAAAGTAGATGATATAGATTTTGATTCACTCACTGTCATTTGTAATGATTTCTTTTTAATACAATAAAATTAATAAAATTAATAATATATCTAATTAGAAATTATAAAATTAAAAATTTTATAAATTTGTTATTAATTTTTCTTTTCCGAAAACTAACTGTTCGGCATTCTTGGTTTCTGAAAATTTTCTCATCTCTATCTCGGCGTTAAGCTCCTGCCTGCTCTTTTCCAACACCATCTTCTCTTGTTCCGTGGCCGTTCGCATTTTCTGCAGGCTCTCTTTGGTCGCCTTCTGACCCAGAAACCGGTTCAGAACTTCCTCGGATCTGGACACTCCGGTAGCGTTCTGCAGCTTGGCGAACGCCTCCTCCAGTCGCGCCAGCTCGTCCTTGATCATGTCCTCTTGTATCTGTACGCGACTTTTCCCACGTGTTTCGAAATCGTCCCGCGGACGAGTATGAAATATCATACGTTCCAATCGTTCCAATTCCATCCGTCGTTCCGCTACGCGCTGCCTGATTACGTAGAAATGTCAAATGCCGAATTATATTCGTAACGTGCTAGTCATCAGAAAACATTTCGTGAGATAGTTATTAATTTTTAGAAGGTTTATCAAAACTGAAATCACAGAAAATGCTGTAGAAGGATGATTTTTTAAATGTAAAGCTATTGTGAACCTGTATTCTTTGATAATAGAATCGCGTTTTTTGCTGGAATTTGTCTCTTCAATCTCCTCTTTCACCAAAGTCTCTTGAGTGCTGTCTTTTAATTCTATAGCTTCTTCCTTTACTCCCTGCAATTAATCGTAGTATTAAATAAAATGTGTGACATCAAATTTCTGTTACTTTCTTCGCGTTATTATCTGTTACTTTTCACATAAACCTTGCCTGTAAACGTTTGATCTCGTTTTCTTGTTGCCTTATGCCATCTTCCAAATTTTTCAAGGAGGAAGCGTAAAGTACTGATTTCTCTTTTAATTCGGAGCAAACAGAACGATATTTCATACGCGCAATATTTGCTTTAATTTGCATCATTCGGATGTGCTCCAGCTGTACTTCCAAAGTTTCGATTTTCTGAGTTGAAGAGTGTATTTATAAAATCAGTGCTTTGAAACACATTGCGAGTTTAAACCGGTATTCATAGTTCGTTTTCAATTAGGACCATCTTAAGACTATAATCTTAAGACAGGCATATGTCCTCAAACCTAATAGTCGGTATTTAAAACTTCCTTATAACGATGTAAGTACAAATGTTAGTGTGCTAACATGCTGTAGTTTACATTACACATTCTACAGAATTTCAGAAATGGCGATTTTATCGATAAAAACGCATTAGAAATACAACCTTATTTTAGCTAACGATATATATTCCTAAAATATTTATGAAAGATTCTGAAAATCTCTTCCCAAAAAAACATTCCAAGAGTATTCTCAAATATTCCCAAATATTTACAGAATGTAAAAACAACAATTCAAATATCGGTTAAAAACGTTTGTATATCTTTACATATTCCGAGAATATTCCACTCTCTCTCTCTCTCTCTCTCTCTCTCTCTCTCTCTCTCTCTCTCTCTCTCTCTCTCTCTCAGAGGGTGTTTGATAAGTAACATCAAAACTCTTACACAGGAGTAGAGTGGACTAAATTGAGTCGAAAAGTTCTCTACCACTTTAAAATTTTCGCAATAATTAACAATTTTCATAACAGATATCAATTATTAAAAATCACCAAATATTGGTTTTTAATAATATTTTACTATTAATATTATCAACTTTATAAAAAAACAACACAAGAGACAAAAATTGCTTATTTTCTTTTCATAGAGTTCGAAGAATTTTTTCAGTATTTTTTAGTACCATATTTTTTCATGTTGGTAAAAATAATTACCAATAAGAAAATGTATGTGCAGTACTAATAAGTTGATTAAAATATCTGAAAAAATTCTTAGAACTTTATGAGAAGAAAATAAACATTTTTTTGTCTCTTGCTGTTTTTCTATATAGTTGATAGTACTTGAGTAAAATATTATTGAAAATCATATTCGGCGATTTTTAGTAATTGATATCTAACTATTAAGAAAATTATAAAATGATAGATGGCTTTTTGATTCAAGTTAGTTTGTTCTATCCCTGTACAAGAGTTTTATCGTTACCTATTAAATACCCTGTATATATACATATACAGAGTGTCCTATTTTAAATGACTCATATTTCTCTTGAATAGTACATTTTAGAAAAAATGTTTTAAACAAAAGTTTTATGACTTCAAGGGGGATATAAGATGATATTATTTGTTTGATCTTGAGTGGCGTTGTCAAAGTCACGGCATGGTTATATCAATTTTTTATAATGGAATACCATATTTTTTATTTCAGAATCTAATAGCTGATAGCAAGAGCTTTTCAAAACACTATAATAAAGTTATTTTTCATTAATAAGTACTTTTCGAGTTATACTGGTAAGGCTTGAAACTTATAGTACTGTATTACACAAGATGTTCGACTAACGGCTAAAATCTCTTAAATATTGTTTAGGATTATATGTTCTGGATAACATTTGTCAAGATAAAGACTATTAGAAATTATTCCTCTTATTTTCATTTTTGCATTAAAAATTCATTTCTATGTAAAAATGAAAATAAGAAGTTTGTCTTAACAAGTGTTATCCAGGTTATGATCCTGAATAACATTCAAGAGGTTTTAATCATCGGTTGGATACTTTGGGTAATGCTAATGCTGACAGTTAAGGTTCTAAGTTCGAATAAAAAAAAAGAAGATACCTCGTATATCATTGTTTTTTAAATAAGAGAACTTTTTCATTACCAATCATCAATATATAATATTACAGTCGATATAAATCAAATTTAAAAATATAAAATAATTCGTAAAAAAGATTAGTTAGAAAGCAATAATTAATGTTTTATTTATTGTATTTTAAAATTTTCATATTTTTCATAAAATTATTAATTTTTTTTGTAACAAATGTTCTAATGAAAAATATAATCTAATTAACGTTTAGTGCAATATTGCTCGTATTTTATCCAATTTGGAATTAATTTTTAAATCATTGAGACATAACTGATAGTGCTTTATAACGATGCGAATATTTTATTCACTTTATTTCAATGTATCAATTTTTCCTTAAGTCTGGCGTTATGATAATGATTATTTTTGGTTTCTACGAAGAAAAATACATAAGAAAACATTGAAATAAAACAATCCCCGAGTGATCGTAAAACCCTACAAGGTACCCTTTTTCCTCCGCTTGTTCCTGCGTTCGGGACCATATATATAATAAAAATCTTTGTAAGCTTCCCACACAGCACACTTTATCCTGAGGATATTCCAAATTGTCAAAGCGATCTCACGAATATCCCATCTGGAATACCTAAAGCAAAAATCGTAATAGTTTAGTACTGGATATTTTCTTCTTGGTATCGTGGGATATTATAAGATATTCGATTAATATTTTAAAATATCTTATATCCATATATATCCTTCTATCATATAACACAATTCTCCAAGAAATGTTCTAAGGATGTATAGAGTACAGCAAAGGTTTGCAGTTGAAGCGTCAGAACTAAAAGATTAGATGTAAAGAATAGTTACTTTGGACACAAACGATATGACGTATGCTAATTAATAAATATATCTCATATGAAGCATATAAAGATTTTTATTATATTAAATGTTATACTAAGGCCACAGTATATACAGTAGCGCAACTCTCTGTCGGCACCTTTGATGTTAGTGTTGGCCAAAATGGAATGCGTGAAATAAATAAGTTACCTAGCATTGCCGCGGTTACAACCTAAACTTCTTTCTCTTTTTATTCTTTTTTTACACTGTCAAAATTCCTCGCAAAACTCACTAGATTTATTCGCATCGCAATCCAACGAATTCGTTGAAGTGAGTAAGTCCTATTGTAGGAACATATTGGAGCATGCGACGCGAATAAACCTAATATTGCGATGAAATAATTTAAACTTTATGAAAATTAATAATAATAAATTGTAAATATATTGAAAAATAAAGAAAAAATTAGGAAAAATATCAAATTAACTTAAAAATGTATATTTGTATAAAGAAATATTATGTAATTATATATCTATGAAAATGTTATGAGAAAGCTGATATTAAAAGAAATTTATATACATATATGTCCAAAAAATAAGTTTAAAATACAATAAATAAAAAGAAATCTTTTTTGCTCGATTTTCTATGTTCTTTTTGTTCACTTTTTCACTTTATCACTTTTTCACAAAAATTAGACCAATCTCTTGAGATTTCTCACACAACATTTCACCAAATGGATATACACGTAATACTTCCCTCTAAATTTTCACTCTAAACCATGTATGCTTGAAAAACAAATGTGGAACATTGAAACGCTTATTTAAATAGAGAAAAAAAGAGAGAGAACAATAAAAAAAGGAGGAAAAGAGACGGGGCAACTTATTTATTTCACGTAGGCGCACTCCATCTTGGCCAACATAAAATCAAAAGAGTTGCGCTACTATATATATTATACTAAGGCTGTATTTGAGAACATTATCCGGGTGTATTCTGTGCATCATGTTATCCTTGTAAACATTGTTTAACATTGAGTGAACAATATACAGAGGCACTCGAGTAACGTTTCTAAACGCAGAGAGCTAAGAATATATAAATTACAAAGATGTGACATTTAAAATTAATCTTTTATTTCATTATGTAATAATAGGACAATAACATATATTTCTCGCTTTCCATAATATGATATCCTAAAACATTTCCCTTTCATTTTAGATAACAACCACATATATACACATCCATATACAGGATGTTTGATAAGAAACGATAAAATTCTCGCTTAGGGATAGAGTGGACTAAACTGAATCGAAAAGTCCTCTACCATTTTGCAGTTTTCACAATAATTAACAAAATATCAATTATTAAAAATCATCAAACATGTTGAAAATTAGTTATCAATAATTTTCTTCTCATAGAGCTTTAAGAATTTTTTAAGAATTTTTTATCAACTTTTTAGTATTGCATTTTCTTATTGGTATCTATTTTTCCGCATGAGAAAATGCGGCATTAAAAAATTCTGAAAAAATTCTCAGAAATCTATGAGAAGAAACTAAACAATTTTTATCACTTGCTATTTTTCTGTAAAGTTGATAATACTTGAGTAAAAAATTATTGAAACCCAACATTCGGTAATTTTTAGTAATTAATATCTTGTTAATCATTGCGTAAATTATAAATATGGTAGAGGATTTTTCGACTTAGTTTAGTCCGTTGTATCCTTATGCGAGAGTTTTATCATTACTTTTCAAACATCCATATACTTGTAATCTCATGAATGTCGTCTAAGACGTTTATGAAATCTCACACATGCTGACACTTGTACATCTGGATAATGGATATCCGTTGGATAATTGAGACTATCCACGTATATCACAAGATTATCACGATATTCCAAATTGATGTTTGTTGGACATTCCTAGGATAAAGTATGCTGTGTGGATTCTCTCTCTCATATGAGATATTAGGTTAAGTAAAAAGTCATCGCATTTTTTTAAAAGACATCTATCAGTAAAAACCGCAATTACTTTCTTACCAACAATATAAATATATCTTGATAGAGTAAAGTTTCAGCTTTAAAAATCTCTTTTTTAAATTATACGATACGACAATTTTTAATGGAGTTATGAGCAATTAAAGTCAAAATAATTCTTTTATTTAATCCGCGATAACTCAGTAATCAAAAGTCGTAGGAATATTAAAAAAAAACGATTTTGTAGGGAAAGTATCAAGCTTTCACGATAGGTAATCGAAAATTTTCTCAAATTCGTTTTGGACACGTTACAAATCCACAAAGTGAGAAGAAAATTTTTCGTCTTTTTCAGCTCGTAGTTTTTGGTATGTAAAAATTATCAAACTCATATAAACTTAAAAAATGTGATAAGCTTTTAAAAGTAGAGATTTCAAGCTTTAAAACCCTTTTTTTAAATTTGAATTTCATTCATTATTGACGAAGATATTGTATATACAACTTTGAGCTAAAAAATACGCGATGACTTTTTACTCAACCTAATATATCTTAATTAACACGCAGTACGTCGTACCGTTTGTGTCCAAAAAATAACTAATAACATTCTTTATTTCTAATCTTTTAGAAGTTTTTTTCTAACACTCTCCAACTACGAACATTTGCTGTACTCTGGATATTCTTATAACATTTCTTAGATTGTATTGTGTGATGGAAGAATTTGAATATGGTATCTTAAGATTATGATATCTTACGATGTTTTACGATATTTCCTTGGATATCTCCCAGATGGGATATCGCTTTGTCAATATGGAACAATTTGGGATATTCTCAGGAAAGTGTGTTGAGTGTTGAAAGTTTAATTAATATGCATAATGTACGTTTCCGAACATTTTGAGAAAGAAAAACACCACAAAAGTATGTTTCTCTTTTCAATCTCCTCCGGATAATGGCTGCGTTCGCGCGCGCACGAGCGCTTAACGATTTTTTAATATATATGATTGGTTCCTACATTTAGATCCAACAAAGAGTTAAAAGCAAGTACCAATTATATTAAAGAATTATTAAGCGCGACTAACCGATCAATTTTCTCTGCTGAACAAAACGTTGGCTGCATTCAGCAGAAAAAAATAGCTTTACAACTATTGTAAAATTCTTTAATATGATTGGTCTTGCTCTTAGCTTCTCATTGGATCTAAATGTATAAATCAATCATATTCAAGAATTTTACAACAGTTGCAAAGCTGCTTTTTCTGTTGAACGTAACCATTGTTTCTTTACAGAACTATAGACAATTGCCAGTTCATACTTATACGGTATATACACAATTTAAAAATCACTCACGCTATCGTAGTTTGCATCGTCGCTCACATGCACGCTAACAAATCTTTTAAAGGATACACCGATCGCAGAACCGCATTAGAGAATCTTAAGATATAATATATTAAGACGGTCTTAAAATAAAAATAAACTATATGAATACCGATCTTAGATTAAATTACCTTCTTCATAGGATTTTCCATCTTCTTTTTGAATACACAATGAACGCGTTTATGCGCCAATACCTTGCTTTCCGTTTGCAAAATATTCAAAGTACGTTCGTGCTAATAGAATTAATACATTTAACGTCTGTCATATATCTTGAGACAATATATATATTTACTCACCTTCTCTTTTTCATATTTAACTAGGTCTAATTTCTTCCTTAGACGTACATTATTTTCACTTGCTGCGGTTATAATCTCTTCCAAATTACCTTTGTTCACACAAGCTATAGAATCACGACTAAGTAGAGCCGCGTGTTCCATCGCTTCTTTATTCTAGAAAATATTTAATATTAGTTTATAAAAGCTAATCGGTTGTTACATTTTTTCTTCAGGTAATCTATGATACATTTTTCGCTCCCGCATATTTCACGTAAAGTTCTTTGACTTTTTTCTTGAGAGCAGAAATTTTTTGAGCATTTTCATGTTTTTTTGCATCGTATTCCTCAAAATTAGCCTTTCTTTGACCCTCTGAAAAAAATATTAAACCGCCTGTTATGTTTTTTTGAAAAATGAAAGGATTATAATAATATGTGTATTTAATAGTGTTTATTTAACAAATGGATTTAATAGAATATATTATAATTTTTAGAATACAATTTTTTTCGTACACAATTATATCTTTTGCTTTAATCGTTATTAATTATTTTAATAAATATCTAACAATACGCGTGAAGTTGACGATATGTAAAAATTGTAAAATAAAATAAACAATAATTAACAGGAATATAGCTGAAAATTTTCTATAATAACAACTCAGGGCTAAGACTCAGGGCTAGTTATTCGAGTGTATAACACAGAGTGTTTTATATATGTTTATCCACACATGCTCTCGCGACGAACTTTAAATTAAGGTAATAATTTTCTACAAAAGTGATTACCCGATCGTAGAATAATACGTTAATGATAAACTGCCATTGTTTTACTAACAATAAGTGACTTTGAAGAAAAATAAAAAATTCAAGCCGTGCTTGCATGAGCGAATCAGTTCGAGGACTTCGGGGTGATACGTTCATTCAATTTCTGTTACTGAAAATAAGAACGTATCTTAACTTACGAAGAATCTTGAAACTTAGCCGTTAGTTATTATTGCCTAGAACCCTACACGTGCGATAAGCTACGTGAGTAAGATAGTAGGTAACTACACA